CCTCTGGGGAGGAGCCTAGCCAATGCTAAGCCTTTAAACAAAGTTTTACTGGTAATTCTGATGCATGGCTAGAGCTGGGAACCACTGGATGGAGAATGCAAAGCTGAGATCCTAAGACTGATATTCAATTGAAAAGTCCTGTTTACTATTGCTCAGTTGCATGGTTAATGTTTCATGGGGGGAAGTTTGAGAGATTTCATTTTCTGGAGACAAGGGTGGAAAAAAGGTAACTTTACAAAGTGGCAGAAATCTTCAAACCCAGGAGTGGACATATGCATCAAGTGGTGGCTTTAGTGTTTCAAGGATGATCTTTGTCAGAGGCCCATGTTTGCATGATCCCTGTTGTCCAAAACAGGAAGCAGACTGTGACCTTCCACAGGCATTTGAGAGTTTAGGGGTTGTAGGAAATGGATCTATTCTGGAACCAAATGCAAATGTTGGGAATGCAAGGCCTGGGGTCCCCACATCTTTAGGGACAGATTTGACAATTGGGATGCCCCCACAACCTGGCAATTCTCTCCATCCTCCAGGGTATTTAAGTAAAGGAAAATGACAACGCAGGCAGGGAGCCTTGTGCAATATCCCTTGGCATCCAGTATCAGGGCGAGAGGCCATAGAACCCACAGCTTTCAACAGCACTGGAAATGTAAGTAGGACACCATCCAAAGCCATTATAGTCACAGAGGGCTCCACATCCGGGAATTCCTGTCCTTTCTGCCTTGTCCCCTCCATTCTTCCTCCCACACGTCTCCACCCCCACAGGCCCCGGAGCCTCTTATTCATTCTTTCTTCCACTCTAATAGTCTTCTCCAAAGGCCCATGCCCCTACCTTATTTTTGCTTAAATTTTGAGGAAGGTGTTGCTAAGCTGCCCAGGCTGACTTCCAATTTGTGATCCTCCTGCCTCAGCCTCTCAGTAGCTGGATTACAGATGTGCTCAGCTAAATTACTGCTCAGTTAAATTTGACCTTCTTTCTCTTCTGTTTTGTTTTTCTCCCATTTAATATTATCTGGAACTCTTTTTAAATGTATGTGTTTATATGTTCTCTGACTAAAAAAAAAAAAAAACCTCTGTGAGTGCATGACTTATAATCTTTTTAGTTCCTACTATATTTCTGCTACCTTAAAGTGTTCCTGTTACATAGCAGGTGCCCGAAGAATATATACTGGAAAAAAAATTGAACGAGAAAACTACTATATGGGTTTTCAACACTGGGCTAAACTTTGAGGTTCTTATATGAGTGGCAAGGGTGTAGAAGTCTTTCAGATGCCAGATATAATGTGGGGGAAAGGGAGTTGTGGAAAGTTTGATCAGTGGTTCTTCTTTTTTTTAAATTTTTTAGTGGTAACTGGACACAATATCTTTATTTCAGTTATTTATTTTTATGTGGTGCTGAGGATGGAACCAGGGTTGCGCATGTGCAAGGTGAGCACTCTACCACTGAGCCACAACCCCAGACCCATCAGTGCTTCTTAAGTAACAGTTAAATAAGGGTAAGAAATTCTGGTGTGTGCTGCACAACAGGGCTACCATAGATAGCAAATATATACTGTATAATTCAAAAAGTTAGAAAGGATTCTGAGCTTTCGCCATAAGAGATGGTAAATGTTGAAGGAGTCAGGCATGTTTAACCCAATTTAAACCTTACAAAGTGCATATGTGTATCAAAACATCACATGACACCTATTAATATGTACAATTTTATTTTTACATAGCAATTAAAAAATTAGAAATGCTGAAAATTAAAAAATTCTAAAATAAAATGTATGTATGCATGCACACATAGGGATGGAGAGAAAGAGAGAGAGAGAAGAAAGAGATAGAAGAAAAGAGGAAGGTAGAACTAAAGATACAAGAAAAGACACCAGAAAAGAAACAATATATATATATAATCCACAATGCAAAAAGCATTGTCAGCCTCAACAGTCATATGACTATGAATTACTCCTGTCTCCAGTTTACGTGTGTAGGAACTAAGGGTTTGGGAGTTAAAATCTTGACCTCTTGAAGTGGCCTGATGTTTTGGGGTGAGTCTCCTAATTTCAAATCTGGGAACCAGTGCAGGTCCCATAGACCAGCCATAGTAAAGGGGACAGACATATTGGCTAAGCATGTATTACAAAACCTTAATTCAAAGAAGACTCTAGAAACAAATGACACTTCTGAGATTATTTGGCCTAGAGTAGCTGGAAATACAGGAATCCCCCCTCCTGTCCCCCCGCACCCCCAACAGAGGCAGGGCGTGCTGTCAGAAAGGCTGAAAGGGGAAGCAGCCAAGCTTCAATAACAGGAAAGGCCTTGCAGAAGGTAAACCTTAGGGTGGGCTCACAGGACAGGGTTTGATTAGTGGTCAGAGAAGGTATATTTCAGGAAAAAAAGAACTTTATGAGCCCAATAATCCATTTCTTCTTTTCATCAGTATCAATACTAATTGCAAATTCAACAAGGCTAGTGAGTCTAGTAGCAAAATGGACTAATACTAAACTTCTAAAGGTCTGCAGGTGTGTGCAGCCACCTGGAGGCCCAGGAGAATGGGCACTATATTGGCAGACAGGGCTTAATTCTTGGCCCTTTGCTTCATGAGCTCAAAAAGCACAAATTTTGTGCATTTTACTCCTGTGGGTCCATTTAAGGTCTCCTGCCTTTTAATGGAAAAGATTTAATTATATCTAGAAAAGCAATAAAGGTGTTTGGGTTTTAAGATCTTAATATCCAATGGTCTGTGGAATGATTGGAACTTATATTTCCACTGATTCCTGGAAAGGGGTGATAGGACTCTGTCAACCTAAATATTGGGAGATTGCATTTCTCTCTTGGATAAAAAAAATGTCTCTTTTCTATCCCTCCTTCATATTGCAAAAAGCTTGTTTTGCTCAGAAAGTTACCCTTATTAAAAACAACAACAAAACCAACCTGAGAGCAAAACAGAGGAATGAAATGTGTAGCTGATTGAGAAAAGAAACTGACTTACATTCTAACTTTTGCAATTTTCATTTTTTTATTGGTGCATTATAGTTGTACATAATGGTGGGATTCATTGTTACATATTTGTACATGCACACAATATAACAGTATTTCTCCTTTCCCTCCACTCCTCCCACCCATTGGTCCCTTTCCTCTACTCTGTTATCTCCTTTTGAGTTTCATGAGATTTCCCCCCATCATCACCACCTTTCTTTTCCTTTTCCTCCCTAGCTTTCACAAATAAGACAACATATAAATCTTGACCTTCTCTGAACTCTTGTAGTTGTTATCAGAGGACTCTAATATACACCAGAAGAAAGAGGTTGGGTTATAGTGTTGTTTGCTTTTGAAATATTCTCAGTCAAATTGGTAGGAAAATAATTTTTATTCAAAGCCTATTTTGAAATAATGGGGGGCACATGAGGTTAAGGAAATAATTCTATGAACTGGGCCCACTGTGCTCACCCCTACAGGCTTTCATTTTTTAAAAGAAATTTACCTACAGCCTTGCCTGACTTAAATGGACAGGATATATCACATTCCTTGGCCATTCACGTGTTATCTGCAGGAAAATGCAGGCCTGTGTGTGTGTGTGTGTGTGTGGGGGGGGGACTTTTGTGACCCTTATACAGACCAGATCTCAGAACTCAGGGAGAAAAAGATAATTCCCCCTAACTGTAAAATCTGCAAGAACAGGGTCCAAATAGAACAGGTCAGCATAGGCCAAAGTGACTTTGAGTTTTCTTGGCAGTGGGGACTTGAAAGTCTGATGTCATCAGACTGTCAGTCAAAAACCAAGAGATGGACCTGGGTGGGACTCTAGAAATCCCTGAGAACCACAATGAAATTGTAAAGCTGGAAAGGCTGCCCTTGTGAGAGGACCCACTCTCTCCCTTGAGCGGGTCCCCATTTCCCTTTCATATTCCTTCTAAGAAACTCATGCCTGTTCTGAGTGACATGGGGTGAAGGGTGTATATATGGGGGGTCTAATTTCAAGCATGGGATGAAGTGGGGAGTGTCTTCATGCTGTCTCAGTTTCAGGGAAGGTCCCTGCCCTGTTACAGAGGGAAGCTAGGAGACAATTGTTTCAAAGGTTCTATCTCCAAAATCTGAAAATTAGGACATCTAAAGAGAGGAGGCAGGGAACTGATAGAGCAGGAAACTGACATAATGTGGATTCAACCTGTTAGACAGGCTTGAGTGAGCAACCTTCTCTGTGCTCCCCCTGTGCCTGTCAGGCTGGGGTCCCAGCCCACCCCTAGCCTCCAGTGGGTGTGAAGAAGCCATTCCGGATTTCATGTGGGCTGTGCATGCAAATTCAGTTTCATAAGGAAGAAAAAATGTGACCATGTGAAAACAAGGGGAGCACCTGTAGCAGGATCAAGCTGTATTAGGGACAAGAGGGACTTCATACAGAAGGTGTGGAGGTAGGGAGGGGCAGAGAACCCTGGTCCACCTAGGACAAATGTACAGTATCACTGCTTTTAAAAAAAGGCCAGCTCAGCATCTGACTAGGGAGTGAGGATCCAACCCTTGCTAGGGAGAGAAGCCATGCTAGACTTAAGCCCTAACTTCTTTTTTCTTCAGTCCCATCCCAACACCCTTTAGTCTTTTTGTCAAATTAGGCTGAGAAAAAGTAAAAAAGGCACATTTCCAGCACTTATTTTACAAAAGAAAACAGGAAGGACCCACAAAATTTCCTTGTCCCATGTACCTGAGATCCATTGAACCTCTTCCTGAGAGGCCTGAAGGCACTGGTGTACAAAGGCCTGCTAGGCATCAGAAATTGCCCATCTGGTACAGTGTCACACAACTGTGATCTCATAGGCTCTGAGGAAAAAGGAAGATCGCGAGTTCAAAGCCAGACTCAGCAATTTAGCAAGGCCCAAAGCAGCCCAGCAAAGACATCGTCTCAAAAAAAAAAGAGCTGGAGATGTGGCTCTGTGGTGGAGTTCCCCTGGGTTAAATGGCCGCCCCCTCTAAAAACAAAACAAAACACGCAACAAAACCAGGCAATTACTAGTTTAAATCCACCCTGATGTTAAGCGAAATGAACACTTTGAATATCAACGTAAGAGTTCGAAAAGCAGAAAAATCACACTTGATGTGCCTTTTCAATTAAATGCTTCGGATGAAAAGCACCTCTGGCCTGCTACTCCAGAAGTATCAAAGTGCAGTCTTTTTGGAAACCGTGGTTGGCTCTGAAAAGAGCCTTTGAGATGTGGGCAGTCAGACAAATTCACTTGGAGCTGGTGTACTTGGTGACGGCCTTGGTGCCCTCGGACACGGCGTGCTTGGCCAGCTCCCCGGGCAGCAGCAGGCGCACAGCCGTCTGGATCTCCCGGGACGTGATGGTGGAGCGCTTGTTGTAGTGCGCCAGGCGCGAGGCCTCCCCCGCGATGCGCTCGAAGATGTCGTTCACGAACGAGTTCATGATGCCCATGGCCTTGGACGAGATGCCGGTGTCGGGGTGCACCTGCTTGAGCACCTTGTACACGTA